CACATAATTCCATTGTCCAGGCCTGTCAAGCGGCATGATGGGCGTGAAAGCGGAAGTGGCACGCACCCCGTTTGCCAATGCTCCTTGTCCTCCACCGGACCTGAATTCGTAGCCACACACACACACACATACGTGCAAAAAATTAACGAACATTTCAATTTTCATCAGTGCAAAATAAAAAAGGTCCTCGTGAAAAGTCACAACTACCCACAACCTCGGGTTTAGTGAGGGAACAGTCAAATTTGCGGTTTGGTACAGTTAAACCCTCCAAAACAAATTTGAAGGGACTCGAAAAAATGTTTACCACGAAGTTTTGAGGACTTCAACAAATTTTGGGTAGTTTTCGTCGAAAAATGAAAATAATTTTCTGGCCAAATTATTAGAACTGTTCATAAATAAATCTATGTGGAGAGCAGAAAGTAAATAATTTGCGTACACAGTATTTTTTCTTGAAAAATAATCTTACACTTAGCTCCAAATTTATGGAAAAAAATGTATACTAAGGGAGGCTTGACCATAAAGGTTTTGAGTTGGGGAGGTTTTAATTTCACTGGACTTCCGGGAATTGGCCAGAGGAGATCCGCTGGGAATTCAATCGGAGGTTTTTCGTCTAGACGAGGTCCAACTTTTTAGTTCCTTTATGAAGCTGAAAACCCAACAGACCCAACCTGAAATATTACCAACCTAAAACCTGAACGGCTTTGGTTTATGCTGAACCCATAAAATTTATTTACAAAATGGTTATATCGTCTCGTTGAAGATCTATTTTAGGCGATCGGTAAGATTAAAAAAAACAAATTCATTCGAAATTCAGAGAGCTACAAACCCAAAATTGAAAAATTAACTGTTCTACCAGAAAAGTTTGGCAACCCCAAGGAATACCTAACGTGAACAAAAACCCTCGACCTACAAAAATATTCATTCAAAATTTCAGAACAAAAGCTTGTCTTCAAGGACAGGAAAAAGACAGAAAACTAGTTTATTTCAATAGTTCCATGGGCCCAGTAAAAATGGAACCATATACTGTATATTCAATTTAACACCGACCAGAATGTAACACCCATTGACTAATCCAAGAACAGTACCGTAAATGTAAAAAAGTACTATATGTGTCATCACCAAATGGCAGTATATGGAATTGCATATTTCATCAAGAAACGAATGAAAATCTAACTATTCTACTTCCACATCATGCATAACAGATAAACACAAGACGTAACTTGAGATCATATTTAATCAAACCAAACCTGAGTTAAAAGTAAGCCAATCATAAGTACAATATACAGTAACTTAAAAAGTGGTTACTCATGACTCAGGATTCGCCTAATCATGAATCGGAATAATGAATATGTCACGATGTCAAATATACCTTTCCTAATTCTGAGTCACAAGTAATATAACCTTGAGTAACCTGATGACTCATGATTAGGTTACATATCACGCAGAAAAAATACCCTTAACCTCACATGAGAAAATAATCCTCAGCAACCACACCTATATAACTAACGTACCTGACTTCAACTTTTCTTATAAACCTCCGAGTCAACATTAACATTAAGAACTGCCGAACTCGAACCTCACTAAAATATCATAACCTTCACTANCCCCCCCCCCCCGTATTTCTCCTACGAAATAGCAACCGAAAATTCAGGTTCAGAACAGAGTTGCGCGAATACGCCAGGTTTCACTCGCATTAATCGAGGTTAAAATATAACTTAAGAAAGCATTTACTGAATTTTCAGTTCCAATTTACGATCATTGATTGATAGATTGATGATTCAGCACACCATGCACTATATATAAAGCGGCGATACGTGTGCACAAGCACGGTTGGATTGCGTCAGCCCGGCATCAGTTCAAACTAAAACCCCGCGCAACCGGTACGCCATTATGATGAGCGAGACCACCATCACAAATTCGGGATGCTCTCCACACCGGATAAAGCAGTGATCCGTTCACACGATTGAATTCAAGAAAGCAAGAAAAAAAAAAGAAACTACTTACACCAGAGCTCGAGCCCCAGCGACGAACATTGTTTGAAATCACAGCAGCAGCTTCACTCTCACACACACGCACACAACAAATTTGCAGGCTTGAAAGCCGGGCTTTGCATTCATGTGCTTTCACAGCGCATGGACTGGGCTTCAACGGGCGAATAACGCCTAGCTTGCCACCCTCGCAGAGGATGCGCGCGCAGTTCAGGAATGAGCTTCAGTTAGGGAGTGGGGGGAGACAAGAAATGGAGAAAATCAGGGAAGTGGGTAGGGTGTCTGCAGTACAGTACAATACAGCATGGATAACAGGAAGGACTGTGGCGGGCGCCAGAAAAAGTTGCCTTTCCAAAAGCAGGAAACATGACTTGTTTGATTCAAGAAGAAAAACTCAAGGTTAAAAACACCATCTGATAGAATTCAGTGTTCCCCAACCTTTTTGGGCCCGATGACCAGCAAGTTTTCGTTTGAACAGCAAAGATTCATAAAATTTTCGCGCTCAAAAAGTTTTGCTTGAAGGACATCATGACAGATATTTCAAAAGTTTCTGCTTCTTCAAGAAATTTGAATTGAGAAGCAATGAAGCAGCTTTGGAGGAAGGTCTTCAAAAATTAGAAAGCTGGGCTGGAAGAAAGGTTCTTGGAAGGAAAAATTAAAATAGTTTATTTCAGCAGGTGGAAAATTGTCTGAAGCAGTATTGGGAGAAATCCCAACTTCCATTTTTCATCAAATAATTCCAAATGTAATTGTCTTTCCGAAATTTCGGATAAAGATAAGACTGCAATACTATTCTTGATAAATCTATTTAGCTGAAAAAAATTTTCCACTGACTGGAAAAAAAACTTCCAGACTGGCACTGGTACATTGGTTGGCGAACACTGTTGTATTTTTCCAAATGCTCTTGACATAATGGACTTTTAATATCAAATATTTATTTTAGAAAAGTAACCCACAGTAGCTCTGCGACCAACTTCAGCTTTGAGTTGTAGTCCTAATTTGACTGAATTCCTAAATTTCGCAATTTGGATGGCAAATGTGGCTGCCACAAGAAAATTTGCAAAAGTTTACGAATTCTTTGATTTTCTTCATTAGTTGAAACATTGTTTCCTTTGCTTCTGTGTGTATTCGCAGTAATATTCATGGAATTAATAGAATCTCTTTTGGAACAGGCCGAAGTCCATTAACCGAGACACCCCTTTATCTAAATATGCAGTATTTGCGTCACCAAATCTGATACATGCGAATAAAAAATATTTTAAAATCAGAATATTATTCAGAGTTTCAAAAAGTTTGGAGGGCACAATTTTCAAAGTTTTTTTTCCTTTGGAACAAAATACTGTTCAAGCAAGCAAAATACAGTAGTTCCTACAGTAAGACATACAGTGACACCCCAACATGCGGACGACTCAACCTGCAGATAATTTGACATAGGGACACTGACTTGACATATAGGGACATTTTGTGATAAAATTGCAAATACATTTCAGGCCAAATTACAAGAAACAGATATTTCCAACCCTAAAATTGATGTAAGAAAAGTTCTTGGGTATTTCTCTCTCTCACCAAATCACCATCCATTTAGCTCATTGAAAAAAATTACCTCCAGCATAGAGGGACTTCTACTTAATTTTCACTTGAATGTTATTTTTGTAGATGCCAAAATTTCAGTGTACAGTACAAAGATTCACTATTCAATGCTCCAAATGTTCCTATTTAGTTGAAAATGTTTTCACTAATTCAAATTCAAGTGGCAAACAAATATTTCAGGGAATTCTGAAGAATATTTCTTCCACAAAACACCAATTAAAAATTATATAATGTAAGTCTATGGGAAAACAAGACTCGACTTAGGGACATTTTGACTTGGGGACACTCTTGATGCACCAAATACGTCCACATCTCGGGGTCTCACTGTACATATTAAATAATTCACAGATGCCTCACTGAACATATTAAATCATTCACAGGGGATATGAGAGGTGAAAGAATTTTACACAAATTTACCATCAAGCAGAAAATCATTTTGATGCTTCAACTGCTTTCTGACAATTCTCTCTTACGCACCGCCAGAGCGGCTTGCCATTTTACCCGTGCCTCAGCTGACGCGGCGCAAGACAGGAATGAAGGTTGAAGGAGAGACTGCAGACGCGACGCCGTTCAAAACCACCCACCCAAAGAGGGCACGGAGGGCAAACAGAATTTTCGCAGAAACGAGAGAATAAATCCAAGGTTGGACAGAATGGAGGAAACAGGTCTAGACAAGGTTTTCAGTCATAGAACCAACATGGTTGACTGATAAGAAACCTCTTGACAGTTTGCTCTTGTCAACCTGTTCCTGTTGCATATCAAGGAAATGGATGATGGGTAAGTTCCTAAGAGAATATTTACCCAGTACAGTAGCCAACTTTTTATTTGCTCAGTAATTAAAATATTTATACAACCATGTAATTACATAGTTCAGCATGAATGCCAAGAAACTTGGAGACAGTTTGCTTATCTGCTCCTGTTGCAAATCAAAGAAATTAAATTCTGTATCACTTCCTGAGGGGATATTTCCCAACAATAAGTGTTCAACTCAAGAAGGGCATCCATATATGCAGTCATATCAAGTGTTGCCAAAGCCATATGGTTTCTATGTGCAGTGAATTACTTATTTATTCTAGAATACTGTATCAAAGAAAGCAACAAGAAATTACACCTGGTATTTTTTCCAGTTGACAAAGCTAGATTTTGTTCCACGATCTTGCACATACCGAATTTAACAAAAAAAAAAAATGCAACATCAAAAAGCGAGACAGAAAAAATCAAAACTTATCTTGTTCAAACAAAAACAGAGGTAGAGTACATCCTCTTTACAACAATTTCCTCCACAGCATTCCACAAACAAGAACATTATTTTGGTCCCAACATACCGAACGGAAACGTATTTCCACAAAAGATGGATCTGAAATTTTGAAGTAAATGTCCAGTACATTAATTAGCTTTGAATCCTTGAAATAACCAAATAACGGAATAATAATCCAACAAGTCTAATTATAAATTACTGTGGAAATAGCAGGACTTCGTGCAAATTTAATTTAACTTGTACAGTAATTTCTTTAATTAGAGCGGTGACAATTCTTATAAACCTTACTCAAACACAGACAGAAACACAAACACACTTAAAAGAAACTTTTCCTTTTGATGTGTTGAAAAATAATTTTACAAACGGATAAGACGGAAACACGGTCTTCAGATCAATAACATTCCAACTAAGAAAGTTATCCATGTTTCTAAATAATTTTTGAAAACCTGTGATTGCTTTCTCATTCACGAAACATGGGTTAAGCCAAAGTTGGGGCAGGTAAACCGTATTTTTACAAAAGACAAGGTGCAACATATGAACTTGACTAGACAAGATATTTTTCTCTCACATAAAAGTTAGTTTTCCAAGTGCAGTTTTCAGGAAGTTACAAAAATCAGTACTGTTAAACCCATGCTGTATTTTCTCCCCCCCCCCTCCAAAAGGGGAGAAAGCATTGCAGTTTAATCACAACAGAGCTAACAGTTATGGTTGAACCCTTGTACTGTACTGTACTGTATATGCATCTCATCCACAGATAAATAAGCTGAGTAACAATTTTTTGGTCCACTGAGCATAATTTTCAGATAAAATATTGTTGATAAAAATCATACACCAAATGCACATAAGATATACACAATTATCAGGAATAGAGTACAGAATGAGCCTCAAAAAAGCTAACCCTGCTCAGATTGGATTTGTGTAAGAATCCCATAGTCGAGAAATCCTGGTAACCCTGAAATTCAGGAAACAGCAAATAAAAAAAAATAAACAAACAGAAAAATGGCAAAATAGCCTTCTCAAATATGAATTTAAAAAATATGAAGCTCAACAGTGGATCATCCCTGAAAACGGGTTGAATCCAAGTTCACTAACTGTTGATATCTTCTCGGGATTAAAAAAAAAAATCCGTATCTGAATGTATTTTAATCGCAGACGTTTTTCAACAACAAAAAACATCACAAAACTAAAGACAGCCTCGCACAAAACACTCAACTCCACACACGACTCACTGAACATCCTCCACTTGAGAACAAGCGGTTCTACAGACAAATATCCCAGATCGAATTGGACGCACCAGAACTCGCATCTTCCGGTCACCCCTGTTTCTTCAAACACGTCGAAAAAAATTTGAAAACATTTCCCACGCAATTCTTTCCGGGATCCGCCGGCAAATGGAGGAAATAATAATTTTGAAATCGCAAGAAAAATGGGGACACATTATTTTTCCAAGGCTTCCTTTTAATCTCAGGGATGTAGAAAACGGATCACGCAACAAATTAATTTCTCTGATTCAGAAAAAAGGAACAGGAACATGAGCCCTTGAAAATGTCCGTTAAGTAGTAAAAAAAAAAAAAACGGCCAAATTGAAATGTTCGAGCAACACTTCGAAAAATCAACATCCATTACACGAGATTTTTTTTCTTAGGGGCAAAGAAAGATGGTCTTATGAAAAGTAAATCAAATTCGAGCGAGCTGAAAAAATAATCCAATTCTTTGAACTTACGAAAAGTCGTACAAAAAGTAAGTACAGTACTGTAAATAAAAATATTAGATCCAAACTATGAAAAAGCATTATCCATTATATGAGCTTTTTTTTTCCTGTGGACGTAGAAAGAGGTTCTTATAAAAACTAATTTACATCAATTTGGCTAAACTGAAAAAAGAATACATTGCAAGCACTCTAAAACTTCGAAAATCCGCACAAAATTTGCTAAATTTAAATACTGTACTGTACATTAAAGAAACAGTACGATAACAGAAACACTCTGATATTATATGAACACTTCAAAATACTGTAATATAGAAGGACACTCTAAAAACGCAACGCGGTATTCTTCAAAAATATTGCTAATGTTAGAATTTCAATTTATTTATTTTTCTCTTATATGGATGTAAAAAAAAGAGTCTCACGCGAAAAATTAATTTGAGCAACCGAGAATAAATGTAAGAGTCCCCTTAAATTGTCTGAAGTCACAGAAACTTAACTAACTTAAAATATAAAAGGAACACTACGAAATACTGTTTTAGAACAAAACTTCACAATATCCTCAACCTAGAAGCTTTTCATTCAGGGATGTAGTAAATGAGTATCACTCAGTAAATTTAATTCAAGAATAAATAAAAGAAATATATATAGATAGCTACATTTTTGATAAGTCGAATGGAACATAAATAAATAAATAAATAAAGTACAAATGAAAAACTCCGCCGACCCAAAATAAGAGCAACCTTGGAGTGTTTTCTAAAGCCACGGAACTCCAAAATAAATCTTCCAGAAGAACACGCTTTATTTCTTGCTGGCCAATAACCCTAAGCCAGGGAAAATCGGTCAGAAAGAGAGAGAGAGAGGAAAATTGCTCCCTTTCATATATTGTATATATATCCCCATATACTGTATATAAGCATTGGTAAAAATAAAGGGAACAACAGCCCACACCAGGAATCCCAACAGGATGCTGAGAATATTCTGGGCTTCTTCTTATTGGCTTCAAGCAACATCACACCCGAACAGGCGCAGGATTTCAAATATTTTTGGGAGGAAGTTTCCTTTTTCCAGCAACCGTCCAACAGAAAAATATCCCAACAAGAAGAAAAAAAAAAAGAAACTAAAAGAATTCCTCTTGGAATTATTTTTACGCTTCCAAGCAGGTATAGGATGAGAAAAAATATATAGTGAACACCGAACTAATCCAGTCGACTAATTTCGAAAGCCAAATTCTTTCAACTGTTGTGAAAGCGTGGACAACGAAAATAAAATGCGCCGATCTGGAATTTCAAAAATTTCATTTATGCTTTATTTCATTTATTTATAAAAACAAAGTAAAATTACTGCATATTCAAGTTTAATTCAGACTTTTCCAGCATTCGCAATAAATTTCCCAGTCCGTAACTAGGGCATAAGAAAATCCGCCAAATTTATATTTTTTCACGCTCATCAGGAGGTATGACGAAAACGAAAATAGTAAACAAAAACTGATCCTGATGAATAATTTCGAAAACCACGTTTTGCAAATCAACTATTGTAAAACATTAAAATATTTTTTCCGAGCGAACGTTCGTGACCAACCAGAAACTTGAACACGAAGGACCCGAGTCCATAAATTTGCTTCAATGAATGACTCTTTTCAATAAATGATCATCCACTGAAATTTCCAAACCCTCGATCACAGCAGAAAAAAATCATCTCCAAGTTTCAATTCAGCCTTTCCATCATTCAAAAGAATTTTCTCAGACCGTAATCACGGCCATAATCGTAGAAAAAGGCGCCTGAAAAGTATTTTTAAATTCAATTTAAAGGAAATTGAATTTAATTTCCCATGAAAAAAATAAATGAAATTTTGTGGAGTTCACGATATACACAAATGTCAAAGTACTGCACACGCAAAACGGATAGATTCTGAACCATGTGACCATGAACCAAAAAGCCACGAAAAAAAAGCAGCGTTGCCACAGGCCACCGCAATGGTTGCGACATGACAACAAAAGCCAGTCCGACCCAGTATCGTTATCCGAATGACCCAGGAATTATCATTTTATTCACCAGCACACGTGAATAAATAGTATGCAGGGTATTCCATAATAACTCAACAAGGTTCAAGCTCTCGAATTCACTTCTAAGAACCAAAATACCTACCGAGAAAACAAAAATAGTAGAATATAATATTTTTTTGACCTCCCGTGATTTCCGGAGAAAAAAAAACCTTTTCGAAGAACAGGCACATCAGAAAATTGAGAAAGTCGTTCTAAAAACTTTTTGAAGAAACCTAGAAGAATGAGTCTTATCTCGTTGGCAGGACCGATAATCTTACTCTTCGAACGAAGACACGACGATTTTAGTCGGCAACAATAAATTGCACTAAATCCAGCATCGGTTGTAATTCGACTGCGGGTTTATGCTGATCTAATTCATCAGGAAAAAATAACGAAGGATTTTTAAATTAATGCCAAGTCTCACGGGAAATTACCGATCATCAAAAGGCGACGATTGTATCATAAAAATATTAATATTTCAACCGGTTTCTCTCGCATAATATGCATACCCATCCGTCCTTAGTGAATAAAATTGAGAAGGATGAGAAATAAATCTGCCTGCAAAAATGCCGGTAGACATTGCAAGTAAAATAAATATGTGCTTCATAACTTCAACTGAAGGAAACATTTTTCACAATCAAACTGAAGAGGAGAAAATTATTGTCTGAATTTACCACCGGAAATAATATAATGTGCAGTGATTTGAAACAGTCTTGGATTTTAAATGAGTAAAATTAATTATGAGCATGAAAAATAAATTTTATTTGTGGTTACATTTTTCAAAAATCGTTGAAAAAAAAGAAAATTCCGTGCAAATATCCTATTTCCTCCATCACAATCATAGAAAACTGAAAGTGCCACCACAATATGAGATTTCGCAAAATCCTGTTTCCTTCGCTAAAACGAAGTTGACAAGTTTCTAATTCCTCACAACTTCAACGTGTTGATTGGATTTTCTTCCATCATTGTTTTCACAATTGCGTGAGTATTTCCTTTGAATCATAAGCGATTTTTTTAAAGTCAAATTCGGACAATTTAACAGAATATTCTTGTCGAGAGCGATTCTGGTGACACCTACTCAGCTATCTTGAAAACGGCTCTCAGACATTTCAGTGAAAGGTACGGTACTGTACACTACCGTACAATACGAAGTATATTAAATCGTATTTTTAAATCTACATGCACTCCAATGCTGCAAATGATTTTCTGCCTTCATTATAGAAAAAAAGAGAAAAATCAATTGATGGGTATTGAAAAATAAATCTGATTAAGGCAATGAAAAGAAAATATTCGCTTCGAGTCTATGCATGATTTGAGCCAGTTTCTTGTCAAAAAGGGGAAAACAACTTTACACAAGGCTTGCAAAAAGGAATGTGTCTCGCAAAATAATTTTTTTGCTTTTTATTGTCAGATACATTTTTTTTAGAAGCCTCAAAATTTATTCGGGATTCGTTTCACGAATTTTCACAGACCTTCTTCAAGTTCATTATTTCAATGGTCACTTTCACCGACAAACACGTTCTATTTGTAGTACAGTAAATACTTTATCGCCAAATCCTTGACACATTTATTACTGGCCGAAGTCCCCATTAATATTTTATGTCATCAAGCAACAGTACACATGAAATAAACATGACATTTTTCCTTATTGGGCAGTCATTTCAATGCATGATCGGTTCCTTGTGGCTGAGAAATAACGGTAAAACGCCATTATTTTCACTTCTACTCTAATGATTTTCAAATTTGATGGCTTTGCTTCATTAGCTGTCATTATTTATTGACAGATTTAAAAGAAACAAATCAGATTTCGCCAGCCGTCAATGAAGACAAAGCCTTATTTCATGTTTTTAGATTTTAACCAGTTTCGCAATCTCACATATTTAAACAAGTTTTACAGTACATGCACTTTCTCAAAATTTATGTAATGGATTTTTTAACGATTTTTCTTACCTTTCATTATTACAATTCCCTGAATTGTTGTTCATGATTGTTTAAGAAATAAGTTTTGTCACTAAATGTCGTGTCATTGATCTGGTTTATTTATTACGTTCGCGCAACTGCGTGAATCTCAACGATTCCTGAGCAGAATTCAATTCAAATTTCTTCAGAATTCAGTGAAGTTTGTTCATTGCTCCCGCGAAATCCAACGAGCTTTTTTCTTTGAAAATTTCACCAATTGTGCACGCTTAGTTCGCAAATTGTTTTCGTTTGGATTCAGAACTTAAGAATAGATGTCTCAAAAGCGTGCCAAATTTCAAGAAAAAAAAATTACGAAACTGTCACGCAAACCAAATAAAAGATATAAAAAAGGATTAGCCAGCAGGCATTCTGTGAAAATACTCAAAAGAGTTCTCGAAATTTGCAAGCAAACCTCGCTGGACATAAATTCAAACAGCGTGACTCAATAAAATGTCTCAATAACCCACAAATGACGAGGATTTTTCTTGAACAATTGAACAACTTTTACCGAACCTAATTTTTCCCTCCAACTATTGTATACATTTACAAAGCACAAAATGAAAAAAATACAAACGCCGCCTTTTTCCCGCCGTCTCGCCAATCGACACCACCCAAGTCTCGCACGTCGGCGTCGTCATCGACACTCATTTCTTCTCCTCCTCTCTCCTGTCCAACAAGACTCAACACAGAATCCGACAACGAACGATCGAAAACGCCGCAATTTCCGCGTTTTTGCTGTTGCTTCACTGCACAATCCTGACACAAGGACGCACTAATTTCGTCAGCGAGACTGTTTGTCAGCCTCGACGTCGACAGTGACGATAAGACGCGGTCAGTGTCGACAACCTCTTCCGTCGCATGACTCCGATTCCAGTCCTCCATACCAGTTTCCTCACTTCCGTTCGCTTTTAAAATATCTTCCTAATTCCCTTAAAGTTCAGCGATTTTTTTTTAATTCTTCAGAAGAGCCCCAGGAATTTTGTCAAGTATAGAATGAAGGAATATGGAGGGAAATTAAGTGAGTGGAGACTTATGAAAGTTCCCGCTGAGAATTAGTCTCTTACTGATGCACATCGTGAACGGATTCGAAAAATATACTGTCCTAGGAAATAATGTTGACATGAATCAAGTTCTTCATTCTTCAAAAAGCAATCATAATAAAAAAAACCGCATGGCCCACTCAAAAATAATCCAAAAACGTCATCAAAAAATTGAATTTGATCTAAATCAGCGTACAATTACTTCAGGTAAGATTACCTAATTTAATTTAAATCAGCTCGAGCTAAAATTGCACTTAAATCTCCCTTGCAACTAGCTTGAATGCAATTATTCGCAGTTTAAACCAATCTTAATTAAAATTGTCCAAGTCAGACTAACCTAACTTACACTAATTTTAATAATGTAAGAGTAACATAGATTACATATTCTAAGTACGGTAGCCGTTTTGTGCAATTGCCAGAGTTTGATCCCTGGAGAAATGCTTTTTACATCTTTTTTTTTCGTGGTAACAGCAGTTATTTCTCTTACCTTCTGGTTCTATGTCTTTCTTAACATAGATTACATATTCTAAGTACGGTAGCCGTTTTGTGCAATTGCCAGAGTTTGATCCCTGGAGAAATGCTTTTTACATCTTTTTTTTTTTTTTCAAGACTGTATATTAGGAAAATTTCCGTTTCGGGCAATCGTAAAATTTAAAATTGGAACCAATGCGCTGGAGGAATTTCACAAATAAAAATCAGTTACATGACGGATTTTCGTAATGCAGAATAATTCGCCTTCCGCAAATAATCAAGTTCTCCAAGCGACTTTCAAAACTGTGAACAATATCATCATTTCTGTTTTTAAAAATGGGGCAATGTCGTAACAAAATTCCCCGTGACACCTCGAAAATACAAGTTTATCATGAGACTTTTTCTTTCCTTCTAATGTCGCCATTCATAAGAAAATGTTCCCCAAAAGGATTCAAATCATCCACTGGAGAAATATTTACTCGGTCGCACATTTCAAAACTTCGAACGAACTTTTAATGAATCCTCAACATCATACATTTAATTCATCTTCACAGGGGACGAGTTCCTTAATTGGCTCCGTTCGAAAAACTGAAGAGCATTCAAAATAGAACGACAATCCTGAATATATATTTTTTAAATTAATGAACAGCTTGGAAAATTCGAATTCATCATTCTCTCATTGCGTCTACTTAGAATAAATGCAAGTCTTCGTAGCGTCACTAAAATTCCTGTAGGAGGTACAATTACGGATCATTACCACAGTCCAGTTGACTAATTAATCAAAAGAATGCGGAAAGGTATTCACTACAGTTGAACTTCGATAAATCGAACCTCCCAAAGTCGAAATTTCTTTTCAGGTTCTGTCTGAATCCCCTTAGAATTAATAAATTTAACACAGCCCTAAGTCAAAGGCGTTTCCCCTCAAACCTCCATAAGTTTAATTTTCTGTGGCCTGTTGGCTTTTATTTTCTTGACACAAGAAAGCAAAAACGCAATAAAAACAGAAATTGATTCGTTTAAAAAGGAGTGAGAGACTTAATTGAGCAAATGAACCTTGCCTACAAGTTTAGGATTCTTTCAACTCATTTCAGAAGTAATTTCAGCCTCAGAATATCACAATTTACAATTTTGTGCAATTTTTCTATGCTTCCCAGAACAAAAGGGCTTTGAATTGTAGCTCAATTTAAAACCTCCCTAAGTCGAACTTTTTTGCTGGTCCCTTGAAGTTCGACTTGGAGAGGTTCGAATGTATAAACATGATCTCAAACTTTTTCAATCGATGCTTTCCGACAGAAACGGACGAAAGACATAGAACCAGAAGGTAAGAGAAATAACTGCTGTTACCACGAAAAAAAAAAATCACCTGTCAGAACACAAAATGGGGCCAGTGTTTCACAGGAAAAAAAAAACCCCCCTCACAAGAAATAATCATAGCCTGACGGAGAAAAAGCTCGGCAATAAAGCTTCAATTAGGTCCCGACCACAAGTAATTTTCCGGTACTGGCACCGAAATACTTTCAAGTACGTCAAAAAACCAAGTTGAGTAAAAAAAAGTAGCACTTCGTCAATCACAATAAACGTCACCGAAGACGCTGAGAATTTCATCTCCAGCTGTGTGAAATTGGGTTCCACATTCGGGTGCCCCTTTTTATTAACACACGGAAGAAAAATTAATAAAAAGTGTCCCAGAGAAACGCATGCAAACGGAATCAAAATATTTCTTGTGAAAAAAAAGAGGAAAACAGCTGGAAAAGCGAACTGACTTTTGTTTGTATTTTCCTTCCACGTTGTACTTCCTGCAGTCCATCCGCTCAGGTGCCATCACACCAATCGTGTTCCCCATTTTCCACACTTTTCAAAATTCTCAACACGATTCACACGTTCTTTTTTCCCACAAAAAGGGGGAACAACAAATTCACTTCCTAACAAAAAAAAAAATCATAAAAGCAGATGTTGAAAAAAATTCACGCGTCAAACGTTGATCTCGTCGACTTTTTGATGAGCAGTACTCTCAGGAATATACAGTACCTACTCCATATTTTTTTTAGCAAAAATAGTTCCACATGTTATTCCCTGACTGTTGCTTGAATCATTACCATAACCATATTCTGCAGAATTTCACAAAATTAACTTCAGAACCACACAAAATGCACAAAGATAAGGACATCAACGGCATGTGAACCATCTGTCACAGGTTGACTAGATGTCGCCCGCAGCGCAGGGTACAGCAAGACATAGCCACATCATACAAGAAACTAACTTCTAGAATACACAAACAAAATAAAAACAATGTTTGAAGAATTCCAAACATAATTGAACCTGAAGATATTGATCTTCAGGAAAATATTCCATCCAGTGAATCACCACTTGATGAAAGGACTTACTAGGAAATTTACAAACAGAAAATCAGTCACACCCCAGTGAAAACCTTGGAGAAGCTTTCCACTGGGGAGGACCTGGACCTGTGAGAAATCATCAGAAGAATCAATTAATCCTGCTCTGAACTTTGGAGAGAAAAGACTTGCATTTTGTGTGTGACATATTTTTGGTTGGAACATTTTGTGGACTTGGACTTGGAGTTATAAACATATGTTGATGAGGTCAGAATCCTCAGGCCGCAAACGGCCGATTGTGCTTACTGAGTTTATTTCACTATAAACCAAATCTTTGTTGTGCGGTCTGAGGACCCCCAACACCATCATCATAAATAAACTCAACACAATATCAGATCCAAAGAACATGAACTTCATTCCAGCGACATCTACACGTCCTTAAAAGAGATTTTGATATTCAAGACGTCCCACTTCCAGGGAAATAAAAAAATCAGGAAGTCATTTCATTTTTCGAATGAGCGCGTTCATTGACCACACAAATGATCAAACTCTAATAATTCGAAGAGTAGGGAAACCATTATTTATGCACTTTTATCAAAATTCAATCGAAAAACAAGAATTACAATTCAGAGTAGGACTAAATCGCATATTAATCTGGTTCAGAACTCCTCAACCAGAAGCACATTTTTTTAAGACGCAAAAGGAAAGCTCCCAGAAATTAAATGTAACATATCTCCAACAAAGTTCGGCCTCGAGGCAACCAAGCAATTCCCAGTTAATAAAAAAAAAACACCAACCCTCAAATTACAAATCTCACAGTAATAAAACTGAAATAACCTGTGATTAAACCATAAACTAAATTTCACCATATCATATGTAGCAACCTACAACAGGTTCGGGAATCACGCAGAAATTTATGACTGCTTTTCAAGACCAAAAAAACTTAATTTCAATACGTTGAAAATTTATGTCTCTCTTCACGTAGAAATCCCGGAAAAAGTAAATCCCATACAATTATTGCTCATGTCCTTCAAGAAGCACTCACAGAGACAGGGAAGACAAAAAAAAGTACTTCCTCATCCCGGATAATTATGACACGCCGAACACGAAGAGTGAATTAAAACCGAGCGATAATTGAAGGCGTAACAGGGGTGTTGAACGAAAAAAAAAAAAAAAAAATATATATATATACTGTATATACAAAAACAACAACAAAAAAGCGTGACAGAGGAAAACTTTATAAGCCAATAAATCGCCTCAACGTGTCCTTGACTTTCGAGACCATTAACCGCGTCCCACGTTAATTAGGCGAAAATGTTAGCGGTTCGTGACAGGGTAGAAAACGGACTTCCGTTTTTTTTTAAACAAAAATATTTATAAACATATATTGTATATATTTTTTGGGGTTGGTCTGCGAGAATATGCGTGGGTTTTCATCAGGCGAACAATTTTCGTGGGCACTGACATTTCAGAGTTGAATTTCAGCGCTCAGAACAATTCAGTTCCTGCTTGATTTTGAAAATGAAATTCAATTGGATTCGGGTTGTGAGAATTTCGGGAGAGAATTTGCGAAAATCTGCGTTCCTGTAGAAATTAGACCAAGATCGGAAATTATTTCTCGACCCTGTTCTGAAGTCAAGCAATGCGACTCTAAGCTTTAAACTAAGTATTTATTCTTACTTTTCACAAAAATAATTCCTACTCTCAAAAATATACAGTACTGACAATATAATATCTAATACTTCGCGTTCCAAGAACTGCGGTTTCAAATTTTTGCGAAAAATGTGTTTGAACAAGGAAGAATTGAAAATAATCTAGCTAAATTGTATTCGAGACGGTTTTCTTCGGATTCAAAATTGGAACAAAGAAGAATTGAAAATAATCTAGCTAAATTGCATTCGAGACGGTTTTTTTCGGATTCAAAATTTGATTAACAAAGCAGTCTTTTTATTTTCTAATAGAAGATAAATAGCCAATGAACACGTCCTAACGTTATTTTCAGAGAATGTACAAAATTTGTGCCTCACCCTAAATCAAATAAGTAAAATTAGAACAGTTTTTAATCATCATATCTGAACCCTTTCCGTGAACTTTCAAACCACGGCTGATTTTTAAACCAATTTCAACAAATATCCCGTTTTCTCCCAGTAAGTTCATTTTTAAAAAGCCAACGCAGTGTATCAAAACTTATTTTCCGATTTCAATTCAAAAGTAAATTTTTAAATTTGTACCAAATACCCTTTTTACGCCGAAGATTGAATAAAAGCCTGTCATTAATTTATTTGCCTATT